TTGCTTTACATTTGTTGTGAGTACCCCTTCCAAATAATGCTCTTAAGGATAATACATTTATATCTTTATCACATGCAATGGAGATAAATTGCACCACAATATTCTGATAGAAATTCCCTGTCGTTAATTTTTCTAAGTCCAATCTAATCCTGCCACAAGAATCCCATTCCACAATTTCAAGAAGACCAGCATCCATCACTCCTCAGGGTCCTCTTGCCTCATGCCAGAGTCGTGGTGGACTCCCACCCCAGGACCTCCCTGCAGGGCATGGTGACAGATCCCATCCTGCTCCTCCCACTGCCCCCATCACTGCGGCTGCTTCGCCTCCTGCCTGGGCCAGCTCCTGCCATGGTGGGTGACTCTCATGTCCAAGTCCCTGAACTTGGTGCTCAAGACTTTGCTGGCCCCCAGACAGCCATCCCCCAGACTCTGTGATTGAAAGTGACCAGAGGACGGGCTGGGGATGTGGCTCAAGCGGTAGCGCGCTCTCCTGGCATGCGTGCGGCCCGGGTTTGATCCTCAGCACCACATACAGACAAGGATGTTGTGTCCACCGAAAACTAAAAAATAAATATTAAAAAAAAATTCTCTCTCTCTGTCTCTCTTTCTCTCTCTCTTTAAAAAAAAAGAAAAAAAGAAAGTGACCAGAGGAGTCTGAAGAACAACCTGCTACGCTTTCTTTCTAGATCAGGGAAGATACCTCTACTGACAAAATTTTTAAGAGGCAAAGAAAATAGATATGAGTTTTGATTGTAGCATGGATTATATTTATTAAGTGTTTCAAGTATGCTAGCAAATTTCTAATGAACAAATGTGATTTTCAAATAAATTACCAAACAATAGTCTGAGTGGCTTCCCATCTTCTACAGATACCTACTTGTTCCTAAAGGACTTCTGAGTCATGAGCCATCCCTGGAAATGTCCTTCCTTACGGTTTTCTTTGCACAACAGAGCTGCTCCTGAAACCTTGTGCTTAGAACTGTGGATGAAATCCTGTGGGGGTCACGGGAACTGGGGAAGTTAGGTCACTGGAGGAATCCATCAGGACTCCCCTCCTGCCCCTGTTCACACCTCCCACGTGGGGTGTGAATCTGGCCTCTGAAGCACCAACTTGCTCACAAAAAAAGCTCATTTGGGCTAAGAAAATGGAAATTAAAGAGGTGGATTGGTTGGCCTTCAAGACAGACTGTAGGACCGCCCGGCCTTGAACCCACAGGAAGGCCCAGTCCCTTCGTGAAAGTTTCCAAAACATCTTCATTCTTCTACTTGGAAACTGCCACACCTGAATTAAGTGTCCCTTAGGTCACAGGATGCTGCAAGTGGCAAGTACCTCACACCATGCAAGTCCAGTCCCTCTCCTCCTTCCCCCCGATTCTACAGATGAGAAAACAGAGCTTCAGAGAGAGCAAGCTTCAGTCCAGACTCAAGGAAGTGGACCCAACAGCCCACCCGCCTCCATTACCCAACCTCTGAATGTCTCAGGAGGCGGCAGCACTGCTGGCCATTCCCAAGAGGAAGCCCATTGTGGGTTTCTCTTTTTTCTCCTCTGCATCAAGTTCATGAGGGACACACGTGATGGGAAGAGGGACATGAGGCAATGCAAGGCCACCTTGGGAAAGGAGCATGTCACTCAGCCTCTGCAATGGCTGTACAACAGACCATCAGCAGGGTCCTGTGTCCCAGCAGGGAGACTGAGCAAATTGTCTGCCTGCCTGTTAATAGGTACCCAGCACACCTCAGAAATCCTGGGACAAGGGACAGATTATCTTAGCTCTCTTTGTGTGGCAACAATTGTGGCCAGGGCTGCAGAGGAGCCGGGCAGCTTCCTGTTCCCACTGCCAAGGCAGATTGCTCAAGCACACGCGTCATCCTCAGCCCACACACTGCCTTGTTATTGCGAGCTGCAAAGGTCTTCCTCCTGCTGGCCCATCTCCCTTTCTTTAGGAGCTGGTCTCTAGAACCAGAGAAGCAAATTTCTTCCTCTTCCTTTTGCCTGGCTTTCTTCCAGGGCCTCCTTCCTCACCCTCTCTCCACATTAATCCCTGTCTGACTGCCTCGACTCAGAATTCAGACCTGGTACTGCAGAGCACCTTGGGCACCTTGCCCTGGCCTGGCTGCCAGGCCTGAGGCCTGCCTGCTCCACTGGCACCTGTCTTCACCCTAATTACTTTCCTGTTGACATGCACTGGAGCCAGTGTCTCCCCACCCCACCCCCCCCGGCACTCCTTCACAGCTTCCTATGCCAGTCCCACTCTGTTTTTCTTTGCCTCCAGGATGTGTCCAGAACATAGCAGTCACCTGTCACCACGAGCTTGTGAAATAACACCTAAAGCTTCAAGGTGCACCTTTAGATGCTCTCTGTTAGGGCATTTGGCTAGGGCTTGTTGGCCACAACTGTCCATCACAGAACATGTACATAGTATCTGATGATCTTTGGACAAGAAGGGACTCGCTGAGAAGCCAGCTGATACACCCTTCAGTCTTCTAGTTAACATATCGAACCACCCCAGACGATAAAACTTACTTGTTTTGAGACATTAAAAAATGAGGTTCCCTGTCTGACTTACTTCACTTAGCACAATGTCTATCATCCGTGGGGTGGAAATGCTAGGATCTCCTCTCTTTAAAGATTGAATAATATTCCAGTGTATACACATAGCACATTTCCTTTATCCACTTTCCCACCAGTGGATACCAATGTTATTTGAATATCTTGGCTACTGTGAATAAGACTTCAATAAACAAAGGAGTGCAGATATCTTCACGAGGTGGTAATTTCTTCTCCTTTGGGTGTAGAGCAGAAGAGGGATTGCTGGATTGTATAATGGTTCTATTTTTGATTTCTTTAGGAACCACCTTCTGTTTACCCTAATGGCTGCACCAACCTACTTACATTCCTGAGTGAGACAGAGCTCCCCTTCTCCATGTCTGGCTAATATTTATTACCTCCTTTTTGATAAGCCAGATATAGAATGAAAAAAAAAACTGCATTGTTTCACATATATGTGAAATGGAAAAGAAAAAAAGGAGATCAGATACTCAGAGATGAGTGTCAAACAGTGGGTACCACCAGCAGCAGGGAGGAGAGAAAACGGGAGATGTGGGTCAAAGGATACAAAAGTGCAGACACATAGGAGGAAAGTCTAGAGCTCAATCACAACACAGGAGTAAGGCTAATGCATTGTGTTGAATTAGGGAGTTTTGCTAAATAAGTTAATTTCAGCTATTCTTGTCATGAAAAAGTAACTGTGAGATGCTGGGGATGTTCACCTGCTTCACCATAGGAACCCTTTTGCTTTCTATATGGATCCCATAATGTCATGTCACTAATCTCAAATATGCACAATAAAATTTATTTAAAGAAGAGAAAGATACATAGGGTTCCACAACTTTTGCTCACCCTTTTTCATGGGAAACAAAGTACAAAACTGATGAGGATAAAAGTTGTTACACAGTCCCCGAAATGAGGAAGGGATGAGCCTTTGTCTCCCACTGCCAAGGCAAGAGCCATGGGGCGATGCTCCTCTGTCTTCCTCTGAGACCTGCAGGAGCAGGAGACCAGGTGCAGGAGACGGAGCAGGTGGGCACCGTGGTCCTGAACAACCACACCTGGGGAACCAGGAGACTTGGTAGACAGCAGATATGAAATCCTGCCTGTCATCCAGAACTTTCCCAACTGCATTGTGAAGTTCACACTTTAGCAGCAGCCTGTCTCAGGTTGACATGTTTCATTAATTACCCCACCCCCACCCCCACCCCAACACACACACACACACACACACACACACACACACACGGAGCGCACTTCCTGTTTCCTTACTTGTTCTAAACAGACCACGTTCATGGACTTCAAAGAATAACGCTATTTGACCATTTCACCTCCCCTGACTTTATAAACTTTTCTCCAATCCCATTCCAAAGTTTCTTTCTTGGTCTTTCTTCCCATGGAGGCACAAAATACATGGTCTTTCTTGACCATTCCCAGTGCCAGGAGTCCTTGAAAAGCAATGATTACAATGATCACAAATCTTGCCCCTGTCACTTTTGCGAAAGTACCGAGTGGCATTCATCCTTTGACCTTTTGGAAGCCTTTGCTGTTTTCTTCCTCCTCTTCCACTGTGGATTAGAGGAATACTGCTGACTGTGACAGCATTCACGCCGTCTGTCACAGTGCCTGTTATAAGCCCTCTTTTTTTCTGTTTGTATTTTTAAAAATTGGGAAAGAATTTTGATTGGACCTGTTAGGTGCAGGACAGGCTGAGTAAGCTGTCTGCAGGGCATGCCAAACAAAGTTAGCTGCAGGATGACCTGGCTTCTCTAACCCTCCGTCTTGCCCAAACGCCCAAGCCCCCGCTCAAGGCTGAACACTCAACCCCCTGCTCAAGGCCGAACACTTAACCCCTTGTGTGTCAACAAGGCAGCTTGCAGACCCAGAGACCCCCATTAGATTTGGGCTATAAAAACTCCCTCCTGCCAGGCCTCTCTCTCTCTTGCTCTCTCTCTCTCTCTCTCTCTCTCTCTCTTGCTCTTTTGCGCTCTCTCTCTCTGTCTCTCCTTCTCTTTCTCTCTTTTCTCCTCTGTTGCACTGCTGCAATAAAGATTTCTCTTGGTCTCTCCGAATATTGTGGTCACTGGATTGAACCCAGTGCCTCACACATGCTAGATGAGCACTCTACCACTGAGCTATAACCCCAACCCCTGTATTTTTTTTTAATCAGGGTTGTCCTGTCCATAAAAGTCACATCTAAAACAAAATGGCACAGATAGATTGGAAAGAGGTATAACATGGAGATACTAAAGCAAAAGCATACATAGTGATATTAATTTAGAGTAAATATTATTAACAAGGATAAAAGGGAATGCTACATAGTAATAGAAGAAACATTCTATCCAAAGTTGGCTGCTATCTACCAAAATAATCTTGAAACATACTTAACAAACACTAATATGATTGCAAGGAGAGAGTAAAACCACAACCATCATCAGGGACTTGAGCTCACCTGCTGTGGATCAAGTAGACACAACATTGTAAAAGCACAGAAGAGTCATAGTATATGAAAGGAAGCTGGACACCAAATAATGATTAAACCCAGCCAGTGGTGCCATCCAGGTGGATTACAAAAGGCAGAAGCTTTCACACTGTAATTTTATTGTCAACATCCTTTCTCTTATCACTCTGAAAATCATTTACCCATGAATAGCATAATAACAACAAAGAAAGATTGCTATGGGGAAATGATTAAGTAACCTGGAGTACAAGACACATATTGATAAAACTTGCCAAAAGGTGACAGTTCTGTAAGAACACAAAGAAAGCAGTCTTTGACTTTTCATTATGTCCTCAGTTTGAAAAATGGCAGCAGGCTTAGGGACCAAAACTGTCACCAACGTCTCCCACGATCTCTGCCCCAGCACTTGTGACCTGGCCACTCTTTCTAAGGAAGTGGTTCCCATCTACAATTCTGCAGGTACTTCTGCAGGGGGGAAACTAACTACAACACTAAAGATTTTATGATAGTATTTTCATGCTACCTATAAAGCATCACATTAGGGTGATTTCCCTTGACTGCTACTTACCACTGAATTTCTGAACAGGAGAGGTCATGGCCGTGTGTTCGTTTGGCCTTCACACCCACATGACTCTGACTCAATTCTACAGTGTCTTGTAACCTTCCTCTGAAGAAGGATCATGGAAAAAGCCAACTCACTCCAAAGGTCCTGCGTGGTTCAATGAGCCTGGGATCAGTGTCACCGTAACACATCTCTTACTATAGTAGAAATGTCTTTTAGGTGTGTGCCCAAATGTGTGGACCCTCCCGAGAAGAGTTCACAGCACACTGAGGTCCAGGGCCCAACCCTGAGAATGCTGACATCTTTCAGGCACTTGGCATTAGTGCAAGCCAGTCCTGGAAGGGGAAATGAATAGTCAACCTGCATCATTCCTTTTCTAAGAATTTGTAGACTGTCTACCCTATGTCAGGTCCTGGGCTGGGTACTGGGATTCCAAATGAACAAAATGAGGTCTCTGACCTCGAGGAGCTGATGATGGAGTGGAGGAGAACTATACAGCAGGTAATAACATTCTGGTGTGATAAGGTAGCTGAGGGCGCCCAGGGGAGGCCCCTTGCTGGAGGAAGGGGCACAGAGTGAGGATATCAAGTCATAAAGCCGACGGGTGGGAGTGGCGGCAGGGAGAGGCGGAGGGCAGAGGGATCGGCACGTGAGGGGCGCGCCGGTAAGGGCAAGCAGGAGACCTGGGAGAGTTGGAGCTGCAGCACTGAGTGGGAGCGGGTGAGTGGAGAGAGATGGGGCTGCACCGCAAACAGGGCCATGCCCAGCTGTGGGGGAGGCTCAGCCCGGCCACAGCCATTCCTCTCTGCTCTGGAGGCCCTTGATAGATACTTTGTTGCTTGATTTTCCTCCGGCTTCGACTCACCTTTGAACTTTTGGCCTCTTCCAGAAGCCTTCAATGCCCATGACTTACAGGACAGACTTCTAGGCTTGACCTTCAGGGCCTCCGCCAGCTCTATCCAATCTACTTGCCCCTCCACAAGCTTCCTCCTCCTCCTCCTCCTGGCCGACTTGCCCTTTGAGATAAACCGTATGCTGCCAAGGCTGGGGACGGTGCTCACAAAGGCTCACTGGACCACTCAACAGGGACCAGAGCCTGAGCTCCCTTCTGTCGCTTTGCAAGGAGCACTGAGGTTGCCAGAGAGTGTTGAAGCCCAGGGCCACGCGGAGACGTCCTGACTTAACCAACAGAGTTCAGGCAAATGGAAGAGGACCCAAGTGGAAGAGGACGAGGATCCTCACCCTGAGATGGAGACAGTCTCACGCTGGATCCTCCATGGCCAAGATCACCTCCCAACCCACCAGTTATATCAGCAAATATGTCCTGCGGTTCTGGATCACTGAGCGGCCAGATATGAAAACTATTTACCCCTGAAAGTGGCAATGCAGATTACCAGGGGACTTTCCTCGTTGGCTATATGAACTTTGGCATGATTTGAACCTATCTATAGATGTAAAAATACACTCGTAATAAAAGCAACCATGTTTTTGAATGCCAATAAACAGGAAGCTCATAAAAAGGATGCCATGGCTGGATTTTGTGTTCTTTTTGCTTCCCCTGAAACTTTCAGACCTGGGCAGGTGCCAGGGAGATAGAAATGAGTACAAACAGATTATCAATCCCACCACCATAGAGATCAGTGTGCGTGTGCGTAGGGAATGGTGGAGAAGGGGGGTCTGAGACAAAAGAGGGTGACCAAGTCAGGGGGCTAGCAGCAGACTCCACCAACACCGGCATGGAGAAGTCCCCAGTAGGAATACCCATTTCTTGGAGCAAAAACAGGCAGGAAGATGATGAATCTAAGACTTGGAGGACATTCTAAGAAAGGAATTGATTCTCCTTGTCTTGAATCCAAACAGGAGAACTGGACAGATGAATGTCCCTGGAATGTCCCACATGCTATAGGAAGATGTCTTCTGCCATGTCCAGGGTCCCCAGCAGACTACTGTGGAGCAAGGACTACTAGTCCCGAGAAGTGTGGAGCCATGTGTGGGGACCACCTGGCACCCTGTAGGGTCAGGTGACCTCTAGGACGATCAGAGGCAGTCTGGCTTAACAGAGAGCACTCAGGAGCTCCCCTTTCCTCACCTCCCCAATACAGTCACTGGACTAGTCCTGTTGGTGCCATTGCCAAAATATATCCCTCCTGTCCATTGATCCCATCTTCCCGCAGGCATCCCAGGCCAAGCCACGGTCTCCTCGGTGGCCTCCTGGCCTCCACTCTTAGTGCCCCCTGGTCTGCTGTCCTCACGGAAGTCTCAGTGATGCTTCTTTAGTGTGTGTGTGTGTGTGTGTGTGTGTGTGAGAGAGAGAGAGAGAGAGAGAGAGAGGGCAAATACTTAACAGGTAAAATTGTCCCTATTCATCCCTTCGTGTTGTTTTGAAGTCCACGTGCGTTGTGGAATGGTTAAATCAGCTGGTTAACCTATGCATTACCTCCCAGGCTTGTCGTTGTTTTAACATCTACTCTCAGCGATTTTCATCACATTATGTTGTCATTAACCATAGTCACCATGTGGAATAACAGAGCTCTTGAACTTGAGCCCCCTCTCTGAGGTTTTGTACAGATTGTCCAGCAGCTTCCCAACCCCAGGCCCTGGTAACCACCTTTCTACTCACTACTTTCATGAGTTAAAATTTTTTTTTAACCAGTCACCTTTTGTTGGGTATGAATTCTCAGGATATAAAAGGATTGGATGGGGGGGGGGGGGCTGGAGTTGTGGCTCAGCGGTAGAGCGCTCGCCTGGTACATGCAGGGCCCTGGGTTCGATCCACAGCTAAAGATAAATAAATAAAATAAAGGTATTGTGTCCAACTACAACTAAAAAATAAATATTAAAAAATATAAAAGGACTCGGCCATGTTTGAGGTGTTGATGGAGGGGAGCTGGGCCAGGGCAGGAGGGCTCAGGAGTGCAGAGTGTGCCCCCCACACCGCCCCTCTTCAGGGGTACTCGCATGGCTGCTCACATATGAGTTCCTTGAAGTCCGCAGCTGAAAAGTACATGGCTATCAACACCATGTTAACCCCAGTGATTCCTCCTCTCGTCACACTGATGAACGTGCAACACCAGCAGCAACCTCTCCGGAACGGTGAAACCCCACATCAGTACTCCATGAGCTTCTTTTCCTTCACTGGTGCGTCTGGCGCCATCTTGGAGTACCAATAACACAATGGGGAAGGACAGTCTCTTCAACCAATGGTGTGGGGACAACTGGATCTCCATGTGCAAAAGATACTGGCAGTTGGACTGGGCTGTGCCAGGGCTGCCAGATAGGGAGCACCTACAAATTCAATCTTTTAAAAATTCTACAAATAAGTGAGATTGCACAGCACTTGTCTTTCTGTGCCTGGCGTATTTCACTTACCGCAGTGTCCTCTGGGTTCATCCATGTTGCTGCACATGACAGATTTCCTCCTTTCTTAAGACTGAGTAGTAGTCCCCTCTTAACACCATATGTTCCTTATCCTTCATCTCTTGATGGACATTTAGGTGGATTCCATACTTTGGCTATTATGAATAATGATGCAATGAACATGGGGATGCAGATAACTCTTTGACATACAGATTTTGATATATATCCTGTGGTGAGATTGCTGGACCATTTTTAATATTTTGAGGAGCCTCCAAACTGTTTTCCAAAATGAGAATGCGCTATTTATATTTCCACCAACAGGTTTCATTTTCTCCATATCTTTTCCAATATTTATCTTTCCTTTTCTTGATAGTAGCCATCCTAACAAGCATAAAGTGATATCTCATTTTGGTTTTAATTTATTTGCATTCACCAATGATTAGTGATGTTAAGTCTTTTCACAGATAGCTGATGGCCAGTGTATGTCTTCTTTTGAGAAATGCCTATTCAGGTCTTATTTGTTTGTTTGGTAGTTGGTTGGTTGGCTGGGGTTTTTCCCAGCTTTGGGACATTTTTCAATCAGGTTGTTTTCTTGCTATTGTTGTTTGAGTTGGTGCATATTGTGAATATTAACTCTTATCAGATGTATGGTCTGCAAGTATTTCCTCTGGTTCCCTTTGTTGTCTTTTCATTCTCTTGATTGTTTTCTTGGCTGTGCAGAAGCTTTTTAGTTCTATTTATCTATTTTGATTTTTGAGGCCTGTGCTTTTGTGTTCACATACAAAAAAACTCATCATCCAAACAAATGATATTGATCCTTCCCTGTTTTCTTCTAATAATTTTACCATTTCAGGCCTCATCTTTATCAGTTCTCAATTAATTTTTTTTTGAGTTGATTTTTGTATACGGTGTGAGATAAGGGTCAAAATTCATTCTTTTGCATAGGAATATCCAGTTGTCCCCCCACCATTTGTTGAAGAGACTGTCCTTTTCCCACTGTGTTATTGGTACCTCTGTGGAAAATCAATTTGTCATGAATGGATGGATTCATTTCTGGGCTCTATCCTGTTCCATGGTCGATGGGTCTGTTAGGCGATGCCATGCTATTCTGATTATTAGAGCTGTGTAGCTTGTTTTAAAGCCAGCTAGTCTGATGCCTCCAGTTTGTTCTTTCTGCTCAAGATTGCTGGGCTCTTTGGGGTCTTTTGTGGGTGTATATGAATTTTAGGATTGCATTTTCTATTTATGCATAAAATGTCACTGGAATTTTGTTATGGATTGTACTGAATCTGTAGATAACTTTGGGTATATGGACATTTTAATAGTAATTCTTCTAATTCGTGAACTCAGGATATCTTTCCACTTATTTGTGTTTTATTCAATTTCTTTCATCAATATTTTGTAGCTTTTGGTGTTCAGGTCTTTCACTTCCTTGGTTAAATATATTCCTAAGTATTTCACTTTTTGGAAACTTTTGTAAATTGGGTTGCTTTCATGTATAGAAATGCTACTGATTTTTGTAGGTGGATATTGTGTTCCTAATCTAGAAAAGAACAACAAATAAATAATGGGTTCAGCAAATTCTATTAAAACATAGTTGTTATAATAATCATGAAGGAGACATTTTTATTGGCATTAGCTCTGTTAGCCTTGTTAGAATTTATAGACTCGGGGAAGATAGGTTAGATGGCTCAGTCCCTTTATGAACCTATGTGTGTGGTTTTTTTTTTCTCTCAATAAATTTACCTACAGCAATTACAGAGGTCAAAATCATACATGGACATTAGGTCCTTCCAACACTTGGAAGCACAGTTGGTGACAGAGTCTCTCCCTTGGAACAGCAGTTTGAGAATCAGGGATTATCCTTTATTCCATAAATACGTATTGTGCCTACTACGTGCCAGACCCTGTGAGATGAACAAAGAACACAGGACCTTGCCCTCCTGGGGCTTCTGGACTCGTGAAGAAACAGGTGGACAAGTGAGCACGTAGGTAGGAGGGGCTGAGCCGGCGCTCCTTCCCTTTATCCTCTCTTGTTTTCACCACTCGAGCAACTAATTCAGACCCATCTGATGACCACTAGAAAGGAACAGTGCCAGCTCTTCAGGATCTGACTCCTCCTTCCCCTTCCGGGTTCACTGGGCTGGCTTGCCTGAACTTGACCACAGAGGTACTTCGCACTTAAGAGCCACCAGGCAATTCTCGTCAGCGTGGGTGCTGTTTCGCGAGCGTTCAGACCTTCCACTGGAAGGCTGGGGAGACAGCTGAGAGGTGTGCCCTCCATGAGGACCTAGACTGGGACCTGCAGAACTGGGGCTCCAGGAAGAAGCTGGCTTCCAGAGAGCAAAGGTGGGCGAGGTGGGAACTGCTCGTGAGACTCTGCTTCCTGCAGATCTTCAAGCACCCGCACCCCAGAGCCCCGTTACTCCTTCACTATGAATCTCCCAGTCGGGGTGTTTCAGAACCTAGTCCCACAGACGCCTGGGCTTCAGGGCTTCATAAACCCTTAAAATGGAGGGAGTATGTGTGCATTTCCCGGGTACAGAGCTCCTGCTTTTTATCCTGTCCTAAGAAGAGTCTGGGTTTTAGAGGTTAATGTTCCCATCTAACTGGCCATTATGAGCAGAGGTCCTAGTGTAGGACACAGAGCAGTGACTCCATGTCCTGAGGCCATGGTCATCCAAAGGATGGCATCCAACCCCTCCTGGAGGAACCAGGGGACAGTGAGCACAGTTAGCTTTCACAGCTCCATGCAAGAAGCCAAGCACCTCAGCTACAGCCCCCCACAGTTAGAGGACAAGTATCAGCATTATCACACCCACTTTGCAGATGAGGAAATTGAAGTTTGGGGAAGTGAAGTAACCTTTCTATCATCCCGATAATACTTCAGATCATGGATTCAATCCAAGGACTAATCGATATCAGGGCCACCTGTGTGACCAGTACCCTATTTGCTCTTCCAAAGTCCTGGAGGACCTGCCATCTCTCCTGGGAACCAAACAACTCTGTTCAAAGAACCTCCAGCTACCCACTTTGCTGTTCAAGTCAAGTCCAAGGACTGCTACCAAAGGGGTGTCTCTGGCAAAATCTGATTTTAAAAAAAAGAAGAAGAAAGAGGAAAAGGAAATCCAAATAAGTTCCCAAGGTCTCTCTGTGCCTTGAGCTCTGCCGCCTGGTGAGAACCATTGTGCATCTTAATTAAAGTAAACAGATGCACATAATAGTTTCTGTTGACTCTTTTTAGGTCTGGCCACTTCATTGAGGTCTTTTCAAAGGTGAGAACTCAGGTTCCCTGCCTCAAAATTGCTTTGCCAAAGTTATGATTCACCTCAACTCAACCTCAGGTAATCCACACTGCACCTACCTCAGGGCCAAGGGCCCCAGGCAAGGGGAGGGGCAGCGGCCACAAAGGTGGACAAAGCACTTTGTCTTCCTCTGTGGAAAGAAGTAAGGATGGATTGCTGTAACTGATAGAGCCCTAACATGAGGTGCCAAACATTGCTCTAAGTGTCTCTAAAGGGTCAGATTGAAAAATGAGAATGAGAAAGGCCAGTTAATGAGGACCCTCGTCAGACAAGGCTTGTTAGAGACAGTGACCCCACAAGCTTCCCTGAGGCAGGTTTTCTTTGCTATTTTACAGATGAAATAGAGTTGGGAAAATGACACAGTGTCACACAGCTAATAGGCAGCTAATAACGTTGCTTCCACACCCCTTTCTACTTCCCATAGCCTCCTGTGGAGAACCTTGCAGTAAGGAGAATGCAGTCCCTAGTTTACCACTTTTATCTACTTCTATTCCAAGAAGCATGTTCAACATACTGATACAAAAGCATGTTTTGATTCTAGGTTGGAGATCGGGACATATGCAGTGTGTGATCTGGAAGGGACAAAAGTTTGCAGGCAAGGACCTTCTTCTTTTTTTTTTTTTTTTTTAGTTGTAGGTGGACACAGTAACCTTTTATTTTTTGTGGTGCCGAGGATTGAACCCAATGCCTCACGCATGCTGGACGAACCCAGGGCTTCACGCATGCTGGGCGAGAGCTCTACCACTGAGCCACAACCCCAGCCCCTGACCCTCCTTTTCAATGTCAGTTTTCAGAAGTCTTGAATGAGTGCGAATGAGCTCAGGCCTGGTGTTCTCGGTGCCTGTGTTCTCTAGCACTGGCCATTCATCTTATGTCCTTTGCATTAACAGTGAGCTTGAAAAATCGTACCAGCCTCTTGTCAACCCATGCAGGGACATTATCTAGTGCCCATCTTTGCACTGCAGTTAATCATTTATAGGATTTCTTCACAGCTTAGAAAATGCCAGTAATGTGCAGTACAAAATAATCTGCCAGAAAGATTAGTTTTCATGGCTTCATTACATTATACAACAGCCAAATTGCTGGCATTTGGGTTATCAGGCGCTGGGATTGTAGGGACACGCCTCGATCCAAAGCGGCTTTATTATTATGAATAACTCTGATTCCCAAAAGTTTTCTAGGCAAAAGTCCACCAACCCTGTTTTTTTTCCAGCATTTGGCTACCAAGAGCCACGTTATCTAGTCCAGGTACTGTGTGTTATCTGAAGTGAAGTGTTGAATAGGAGGGGCCATAAACCTTAATTTACCAAAATTGATATGTGTGGAGATGCCATAAAAATGCCTACTGCTTTTACTCCTGGTAATTGAGGACAATTATGAGATATCTTTTATCCACACTGTTCTGTACTCTGTGGAAATTAACCAGGAAAATTAACCTTAAAATCAGCCAGGGTGGGACTGCAAATTGGTGCAACCGTTATGGAAAGCAGTATGGAGATTCCTCAGAAAACTTGTAATGGAACCACCATTTAACCCAGCTATCCCACTCCTCGGTTTATACCTAAAGAACTTAAAATGAGCATCCTACTGTGACACACTGTTTATAGGAATGTTTGTAGCAGCTCAACTCATAATAGCTAAATGATGGAACCAACCTAGTGCCCTTCCACAGATGAATGGAATAAAGAAAAGGTCTCATATATACACAGTGGAATATTAGTCTTAAAGAGAATGAAATTATGGTATTTGCTGGTAAATGGGGGGAGCTGGATAATATCATGCTAAGTGAAATAAGCCAATCTCAAAGAACCAAAGGCTGAATGTTTTCTCTGATATGCGGATGCTAATTCACAATAACGGTGAGGGGGTAGGGAAGAACAGAGGTACTTTGGATTGGACAGAGGAGTGTGAAGGGAGGGGAGGGGTATGAGGGTAGGAAAGATAGCAGAATGAATAGGACATTGTTACCCTATGTGCATATATGGTTACAAGACTGGTATGATTCTAAATCACGTACAACCAAAAGAATGAGAAGTTGTACTCCATTTATGTAGGATATGTCAAAATGTGTTCTATTATCATGTCTAACTAATTAGAACAAATAAAGAAAAAAGATTAGTCAGGGTATTCTAAGCCCCCAAATTTCATGCTTAATTACTGAAGCTCATAAAATTGCTAAGATTGGCCAAGCGTAGTGGTGCACTCCTGTAATCCCAGTAACCTTGGAAGCTGAGGCAGAAGAATCACAAGTTCAAGGCCAGCAGCAGCAACTTTGTAAGACCCTTTCTCATAATAAAAAATAAAAAGGTCTGGGATGCACTCAGTGGCAAAGTGCCCCTGGGTTCAATCCCCAGTACCAAAAGAAAAAAGAAAATGGTAAGATTGTTAATTTTGAAAGAACTTTTGTCCAATCAAGAGAAAAGTCATCCTGTTCTCAGATCTTGGGCAACGTCAGAATCAAGGGGATGTAAGAATCCTAATACGCGCTCCACTAACTGGGATAAGGTGAGCGCTGAGAACTGCACATTGAAGGGATGCAGCTGGCCTGTCTAGGGACTTCTGGCAAGCTGCCCATCAGTGGTGCCCGGGCCACCCACACCCTGATGACGGGAACAGTAATCCTAATCTTTCTGGCTCTAGCCTCCTGATTTCCTTTCCCCAGTTGAAGGCTAAGGTAAAATGATAATGTCCTTTTAGCCTTTGGGAAAATAGTAATTTATTTACTTATCAGTTCAAAGTCAGGTTAAGAGATCGTAACTCACAGAGGCCAGGGTAGTTAGAGTGGTTCACCGAGCACTTTCTTAAACCGCAGAACTGCTGGCCTCCTGACCTCAACGGTCTTCATCGAGTTCCCCCAGCCTCTCACCAACTCTCCCTCTCACTTCCCCAGTGCTCGGGCTGCCTCCCCCTTTCCCTGTTCTCCGTCATTTGAAGTTAAATTGAGTTTGAAGAGAGTTTTGTCATGGCTGCTGTTCACTTAAACACCAGAGGAGGGCTGGGGCTGGGGCTCAGAGGTAGAGCGCTCGCCCAGCATGCATGAGAGGCACTGGGTTCCATCCTCAGCTCCACATAAAAATAAAATAAAGATATTGTGTCCACCTACAACTAAAAAATAAATATAAAAAAATCAAAGGACCTCTATGTCTAGTTTCATTTATAAAAGCTTATTAAATTTGTTTGAATTTTGTTTTATGTTACCATCTTTTTCTTTCCGTCACTAGCTAATTACTTCTCACTTTTCTTTGTGCCAAAACCTCAAGAAATACAAAATGTAGACACGTTTTCTTGGTGGCAGAGGAAAGTGTTCCTCTGGTCTGGGTCTGCATGGCCTCTGGTGAAGCTTCCATGAAGCCTCTTCTGTAGCAACGTAGCGCCAAGCTGGGTTTCCTTTGAAACTTTGGGTTGGTTTTGTGAGAAAAATAAGCCTGACAGACTGTTGGTTAGAGCCCAGTGGTGGACAGATGACCTGACTGTGCGGCCTGGTGACTGCCTCCCGCATGCACACAGCCGGTTCATGTGCTGAGGCTGATCCTCAGCATGATGGTATTTGGAGTTGGAGTTTGGGGAGCTGATTAAGTCAGATTAGGTCATAAGGGCTCTGGGAGCCTTAGCTTTCTTGAAGGGAACTGAAAGAGATCTCATGTCCACCTAAGGACAGAGAGAAATGAGGGTCCTCTATGAATCAGGAAAGGGGCCCTCACCAGACACTGCATCTGCCAGTACCTTGACCTTGGGTGCACCAGGCAGCTGGAGGTGGGGCAGGGAGCGGAATGGAGTAGATTTCCTGCTCAGGTGATGTGATTTTGCTAGCAACTGGATGTGAACGATGGCCGGTGCATTTCCTGAAGGCTGGAGCTAGATGGTTCTGGTTGCATGATCTGCAAGATGGATTACAAGCACACATGTCTCCCATATGAGAGCAAATCTCCTTCTCTCTGGGACAGAAGAAGGGGAGGAATGGGGCACCTAACCACATCCAGATTGGTTCTTTTAACAGGATGGTGACTTGGCCCTTTTGGGACTTCTGATTGAGGTTCCCCTTGGCTCCTGCATTTCATTGATTCTACTGTCCGACTGCCCTCCACGTCAGCAGAAGTGGCTTCGGATAAACAATAACAAAAATGGGCATTTAAGGACACCAGAATAGAGGCCAAGGGGATGGGGGGGCTCAAGGGAGCAGATGTAACTCTGGCACCGGTCAGATGGCTATTTTTAGCATTAGAGTTGGCGAGGATCCTGGTTTGTATGAATCAAAACTCTCTCATGGTTGCAAGAAATAGAAACTTAACAGGAACCGCTCAGGCAAAAAGGGTGTCTCATGATCCCTGAGGCAGGATGCGGCCAGCCCCAGGGGTGGTGGGGAACCAGGAGCTCGTCCCTAAAACCAGCCCCTCAGGACTCTCCCCTGCCCCGGATTCCAGGTTTCTGGAACTCTCCTCCTGCTCACACGCTCCCTCCCCCACTCTCTGCTGGGTGTTCTCTGCCTCTCAGGGAACCTCAGACTGCCAGCAGCTCTCAGGTTTGTATCTGCCCCTTTTAAGAGACCAACAGCCTTGACCCTAGAATCTTTTAGTTCCGGTCTAAAGGCCCACAAACTGGAAAGCAGAGCTGGACACTGCATTTAAATGGCAATCCACTCAGGGCGGAGAGACCCTCCGTTGTTTCCACCTAGAGTCAGGCTGGAGGCCAGGGGAGGTGGGGGCAATGGGAGGGTGGAGGTTCCAGCCACTTCTGGAGCTGCAGCTGGTGGCAGCACCACCCTAGAAATGGCTGCCTGGGCACCCCGGGCACCTTCCGTGGGAAGTGGGCCAGAGGACAGCTCCAAGATGGGTCCTAAAGGGGCAGAAAAACCAGCAGGCCCTCAGCACAAAGTGGCCCGTGCTTAAGGGGAAGCTTCCATGAAGTCATGCTATGTCACCGCTGTCCCAGACATTTCAGCTGGAGCTCACCCCTCACAGGAATTTGCCATCTAGTACCGGAAACAGGAGCACGAGGGGGACGGGAGAGTCCCCTTCCAGGAAGGCTGCATTTCTTCTAAACGGCTGTTTCACGAAAAGAGGGGAGACAGGAGGAGGGCGGCACTCTGAGGCCACCTTACATAGGGAAGGGCTGTTTGCCAAGGCAGGAGGACAGCTCCCTGTGTCCCCAGCAGGTAGCACTGCACCTAAGGGCAACTTGCCAGGGTACAGATTGTTGGCCCATGTAAGATCGAGTTGCCTTGGGGGACAGGGAGCCCCCATTCCTAGAGGTGGCCCTCTGTGACAGGCAGCACACAGAGGAAACTTGGGAGGGAGACTGAGCCATATGACCCCCACCTTCCTTCCAGTCTTAGAGCCCCCAGTGCAGGTCTACCCATGGAGTCACAGCCCTGCTTTCCAGGGGCAGCCAGATGGCCACCATCAGTGGACCTGGAGAAGACACTGGGCAGAGTGGGTCCTGCCCCACCGGCACCCTGGGGGCTGGGGTGTGGTAGGTCCTGAGAAGGGCCTATGGCCACCCTCCACTCAGAGCATTCGCCTGTTCTCACAAAGTGATGCTCATTGTCATCAGCACACAAACCCCATCAGCACAAGACCCGTCACTCAGAAAATAGAAAAATGAATTGTCACCTATTCACGTGATAGAGTATGATGCAGAGGCAAATGGAGAGAAATGTAAATATGACACAGGCATCTACACACATGTAGACACATACACATGTACACACACGTGCATACGTATGTCAGCACCATTGAGCTAAAACAAATCAAAGCTGAGAGACAAGTGACACTACAGTGTCATTTCTGAAGTAACCACACATCCACGGGCAATGTGTGTTGCTACCCGTGTGTGAGAAAAACGACACCAAGGAAATGGCAGTGGGTGCCTGGCGGGAGGCAGGAAGGCTGGGCTTGGGTGGGGGTGACCTGAGGACGTCAATTTTGTACTTACAAAAAAGCATAAAGCCAAACACAGTGGTGCACTGAGTGATTGCCCTGAAATCCCAGAGGCTTGAAAGGTTGAGGCAGGAGGATCCCAAGTTCAAAGCCAGCCTCAGCAACTTAGTGAGACCCTGTCTCTAAATAAAATATAAAACAGGTTGGGGATGTGGCTCAGTGGTTAAGCACCCCTGGGTTCAAAATCCTGTACAAAAAAAAAAAAAAAAAAAAAGCAAATAAAACAAAGTGTGAATGTGAATCTGGTTAGGGAGAACACAATGTTTGCTACATTGAGAAACAAACTGAGGCCCCAGGAGAACAGTTTTTGACATATTGACAGATGCATGTTAAGGGGCACATTCCCGGCTGGGCACCCAGCCGCCCTGGGCTCTGACCCAGGTCTGCTCAGCAGCTGCCTCTGCCCCACGCTGGACTTGAGCCGTCCCACCTGATGCCATCCCTGCTTCCTGACCACACATCTTCCCCTTGGATCTCAAGTATAGAAGGCTCCAGTTGTCCAGTGGAGGTGACCGGCTTGCTCGGCATCCCTGCAAGAAGGGCCACACGTCAAAGTCGACATTGAAGCCAGGAAGCAGCTGGTGACAGGAGTCCCGTGGCATCCTGGGGCAGGAGCAGAGGAAGGCAGAGGGGCTGTAAGTAATCATTCTTGTCACCCTGGAGAAGAACAATGCCACTCCAGCCCAGCGTGTCCCCCTGGGAGGAAGAGGGCCCAGCACAAGGTGGAAACAGGTTGAAGCCCTCGGGCAGGGTTCAGCCTCAGTGCCTCGGTCTCCTGTCAGTTCCCAGGCTGTGCCCCACACCAAGAATCCGTGTGGAGGGGACCCCCAGATCAGTGTGTCCCCATGAACAAACAGGTTCAAACCAGATCACAGCCCTGTGCCATGGCGGAAATGAAGTCCTGCCAATTTTCCATAATAGAAGAAATAATGCTTAGCAGGGGCAGAGAAGAAGAGCGCTGAGGGAGAGGACGCCAGCCCCACAGAGGAGGAGCAGGGAGGTGCTCCTAGTCCTCAGCGATGCTCCAGCCCCCTAGGTCCTAACAGTCCACATGCAAATCACCTGGAGCCAGGTGCAGCGAGGCTTCCCAGGGAATGAGTCTGCAGGACGTCTGTGGACCTGTGTCCATGGCCACTGGGGTTCATTCACTCCTCAGCCATTCAGGTCCTGCTACATGCCCCGCCTTGTAGGGGCCGGAGAGCCCGTGCGTGGGGTCCTGCCTCTCACAGGGCTCACACTAGCAAGAAGCCAGCAGTAAACAGGCAAGTCACCTTGCTGACACATGCGGAAGGGAGTGTCACAGCTGCAGCAGAGCAGGGGCCGAGGGTGGCAGTTGGGTTCTGAGCCCCTTGCCCAGGCCCGGCAGTGCTGGGCACACTGGAGCTGGGCGGTGTCCTCCGTCCATTACTTCCTCCAGGCACAGGTCCAGGTGGCCAACACCTCCCTGCTGTACGCGACATTAGTTCACCCCCTAGTGGATACACCATCATCACAGCCACAGGGTTTTTGTTTGGTTTCTTCAGTACGAATAACCACTGAGTTGTACCCCAGTTCGTTCGTTCGTTCGTTCGTTCTTTTTTTCTTTTTCTTTCTTTCTTTCTTTCTTTACTTTAGTTTTAAATTTTCAGACAGGGTCTCTTTCAGGCTGGCCTCAAACTTGTGGCCTCCTAACTCAGCCTCCTGAGTTGCTGGGATCACAGGTATGTATTACCACACCTGGCCACAGGCACAAATTTTCATGGGTCCTTCCTTTTCTTGTAGCCCAATAATTAATAGATGACGTTATTGATTCTGGACCACAGATGCAATGTTCCTGACTTAGTGTAAGACAGGGTTCTGCTGAGAAGCGGAACCAGTGGGGTACACAGAGGTGCACAGAATGGGATTCACCATCAAGAAGGGCTCCCATGATGGTGGAGACTGAGCTGTCCCATGACTGCTGTCTGCAAGCTGGAGGTGAAGGAAAGCAGGTGGTGTCATTCTGGCCCCAACCTGAAGGCCCCAGAAACATGAACACTGATGTGTGAGGGTGGGAGGCAGATGTCCCTGCTCACACAGAGCAAATGTGCCCTCCCTCTGCCTTCTGTCCTACCAGGGTTCTGGGCAAATTGGATGGTGCTGAGCTGCGGTGTGAGCAATCTTCATTATTCAGGCTACAGAACGCTAACCTCATCCAGAAATACCTCCCCCATATGCTCAGAAATGATGCTTTTCCAGCTGTCGAGCATCCACTCGCAGCCACCACACCCTGGGTTACAGGGCAGTAGTGGGCTTCTAAAATGAACCACCAGGAGGACGGACCCCGTGTGAGCAGGAGCCAGATTTCACCAGATCCATCAACCCACATCCTGCTAAAGGACTTGGTGGGTGAAGAGAGGGAGGGAGACAAGCACGTTGGCCAGGCGGGTGCCCCTGGTGGGTGGACAAAGGCAAGAGGCCACCTAAGAGCCCAGGAGAGAGGCGAGGTGCTGCATGGAGAAGGCAGCTCTGGTCTTTGTCACACCCACCACAGGAGAGGGGTCTGTGTCTCAGGGTGCCAAAGCACAGAAGACTGCAGGGTCACGTGGGCCCAAGGCACAGCACATGTGGATCCCGTCACACCCTTCAGGGCCTCAGTGGTCCAGAACAGGTTTTCTTTCATGGGAACATGTGTTTGTGTCAAGGGCCAGAGATGCTCACAGGGCAGGTTGGGCGCAGCTTGGAGCCACACAGGAACCATCGGCCTCACTTCTGGTGACTGCGACGGGATTTTTCTTTATTTCAGGTTAGGTCTGCAGGCTTGAGCCTGTGGGGAGAGTCTCCTTCTTTGGGAAGTTCTTCCCTAAGAGCAATCTGTGGTCACCTGTGCCCAGGACAACTGGCCCAATGCTCGCCACTGATGAGAGTCTTTGGGGTCAGACAGGCCTTTTCCTCTGGCACTAGGAGGTGATTGTGTATCTCATATTGTTCTGTTTGTTTAAAATTTTAATTATAATTTTATTTTTTAGAGCAGTCCACAGCTAAATTGAATGGAGAATCTAGAAAATGTCCATACTCTCAGAAACTTCCCACCATCAGCAACCCCCACCAGAGTGACAGACTAGTTACAATTGAGTCTGTATTTGATCCATGTTGAGTTATAATCTCACCAACATTGTAAAACATCTTCTCCGGCATTTATTATTGTTTGTATTTTGATGGTGGCCATGCTAAGTGGAGTGAGATGAAATCTCCGTGTAGCTTTGATTTGCATTTCCCTAATTGCTTAAGATGTTAAACATGTCTTGTATATTTGTCAGCCATTCGTATTTCTTCTTCTGAGAAGTGCCTGTTTAGTTCATTTGCCCATTTACTAATTGGGTTATTTGGGAGGGTTTGGGGTGGCTCTTTGAATACTCTGTATATTCTGGATATTAATCCTCTGTGATGAGCAGCTCACAAAGATTTTCTTCCTTTCTCTAAGTTCTCTATTCACATTCTTAATTGTTTCCTTTGCTGTGTAGGAGCTTTTTAATTCAATGCCACCCCATTTATTAACTCTTGGCATTATTTCCTGAGCTGTTTCTTGTGCCTGTATGTTGGAGGGTTGACCCTTCATTTTCGTCTAGGAGTTGCAAAGTCTCTTGGCTGGTTTCTGGGTCTTTGATCCATTTTTGAATTGGTATTTGTTCAAGGTAGAGAATAGAGATCTGGTCTCACTCTTCTACATATGGATAACCAATTTTTCCATCACCATTTGTTTTAAAAGATACTTTTTCTCTAGTATATTATTTTGCTGACTTTGTCAAGGATCAGAATGACTGTATCTGTGTGGGTTTGTCTCTTTCATTCTGTTTCCTTGATTTATGTCAGTTTTTAGTAATTTTGTTGCCATAGCTCTGTAATTATAATTTAAAGTCAGGTGTTGTGATGCCTCTATCATTGCTTTTTTGGCTGAGAATTCCATTGGCTATTCTGGGTCTTTCATTTTTCCAGATGAATTTTAGGATTGATTTTTCTAGTTCTGTGAGGAACATTATGGGTATTTTGATGGGGATTGCACTGAATCTGTGCATTGCTCTTGGTAGTACGGCCATTGTAACAATATTCTGCCTATCTATGAGCCTAGGACGTCCTTCCATCTCCTCGTGACTTCTTCATTTCTGTCAGTGTTCTGTAGTTTATATTGTAGAGGTCATTCACCTGCTTGGTTGGATTTATTTCTAATTTTTTGTCTGTTTGGTGAATGGTATTGCTTTCCTGATTTCTTTTTCAGCAGATTCATTATTGGCATATAGAAAAGCTATTGATTTCTGGGTATTGATTTTGTAACCTGATACTTCACTGAATTGTCGACTAGCTCCAGAGATCTTCTGGTGGCGTTTCTGGATCTTCTAAGTATAGGATCATATAATCTGTAATCAGTGATCCTTTTTTATCCCTTTTATCTCCTCTTTTGCCCAATTGCTCTAGCTAGAATTTCTATACTTTATTAAGTAGGAGTGGAGAAAATGGACATCCTTATCTTTTTCCAAACTTTAAAGGAAATGCTCTCAATTTTTCCCCATTCATTATGATGTTGGCTGTGGGTTTGTCATATATAGTCTTTATGTTATTGAGGTCATTTTCTCCTATCCCTAGTTTCTTCAGTGTTTTTACCATGGATGGGTGCTAAATTTGTTGAAGACTTTCTCAGCAACTATTGAGATAACTATGTAATTTTTGTCCTTAATTCTGTCTATGTAGTGAATCACATTTATTGCTATGCATATGTTAAACCATCCTTGCAACCCTGGAATGAAACTGACTTGGTGATAATGTACAATCTTCTTAATATGTTGTTGACCCAGGCTCAATGACACATGCCTGTAATCCTAGGGCTCGAGAAGCTGAAGCAGGAAGATCATGAGTTCAAAGCCAGCCTCAGCAGTGGCAAGGCGCTAAGCAACTCAGTGAGACCCTGTCTCTAAATAAAATACAAAATAGGGCTGGGGATGTGGCTCAGGGGTCAAGTGCCCCTGAGTTCAATCCCTGGTACCAAAATAATAATAATATTATTAATATTAATAATATTAATAATGTTGAATATGGTTTGCTAATTATTTTATTAAGGATTTTTACATCTGAGTTTATCAGGGATATTGATCCATAGTTTTCTTTCCTTGATGTGTCCCTATTTTGTTTTGGCATCAGGTCCATACTGACTTCATAGAATGAATTTGAAAGTCTTCCACTCCTCTCTATTTCCTAGAACAATTTGAAGAGTATATGCATTAGTTATTCTTTAAAGTCTGGCAGAATTCAGCTGAGAATCCATGTGGTCCTGGAGTTTTCTTTTTATGACTGCTTCTATCTCATTGCTTATTATTGGTCTATTTAGGTTTTCTATGTCATCTTAATTAAATTTTGACAGGTCATATATCTATAAATGCATCCATTTTTTCCAGGTTTAATTCTAGATTCATATCCAGAATATATAAAGAACTAAGGACTCATCAAACCCACTCCCCAAATAACCCAATTAGTAAATAGGCAAATGAACTAAACAATTTATTGGAATATAAGTTTTCAAAATATTCCCTAATCATCCTCTGGATTTCTATGATGTCTGTGATGTCTTCTGCTTTTTCATCTCTAATTTTATTAATCTGGGTCTTAATTTCCTTTTAGTTAGTTTGGCTAAAGGTTTATCCATTTTGTTTATGTTTTCAAAGAACCAACTCTTTTTTAAAATATTTACTTATTTAGTTGTAGTTGGACGCAAAACCTTTATTTGTTTTTTTGTGGTGATGAGGATCGAACCCAGGGCCTCGCATGTGCTAGGCGAGCGCTCTACCGCTGGGCCACAACCCCAGCCCAAGAACCAACTCTTTGTTTCACTGATTCTTTGTAATTTTTTATTCTCTATTCCATTGATTTCAGCTCTGATCTTAATTATCTCCTTCCTTTTACTGGTTTTGGAATTGATTTCTTCTTCTTTCTCTAGGACCTTTGGATGCATCATTAGGTTGTTTACTTGAGACTTTCTAATCTTCTTACATAGGCACTCATAGACTTTCCCTTAGAACTGCCTTCATAGTGTCCCAGAGGTTCTGATATGTTGTATTACTATTCTCATTTGAGCCTAAAAATTTTTAAATTTCTCTCCTGATTTCTTCTCTCACCCATTTTTCATTCAAAAGTGTATTGTTCAATCTTTGTTTGTTTATAGAGTTTCTGAAGGGTTTTTTGTTTTGGTTTGGTTTTTGGTTTTTGATGTTGGTTTCTAATTTTATTCCATTATGATCAATAAGATCATATACATTTTTTTCATATTTTCTAAGAGTTTATTACCTAAAATATGATCTACTTTGGGAAAGTGTTCCATGAACAACTGAAAAGAAAATAAATTTGTCTATTATTGGATGAAATATTCTGTAGATATCTATCAAGTCCATTTTTTTTTTTAGGTCTG